AAATGCCTCCTTCTAGGGTGCATCTTTCTGCTACCTGAAAGGAAACCCATGATTGTTTTTCATGGGGTCAAGAACACCTAAAGAGATTATCATAACTTGAAGTGGCTTAAGGATCCTTTATCAAATGAGATCTGGTAGTTTAAATTCCAGTCGAGGTTTTTTTTTTTTTATCCTAGCTTTCTCTTTTTAAATGCAAGTTTCAATCTATTTCTTGCTCTCCCACTGATCCACAGTGTGACTGTGGGGAAATCATTTCAGTTCACTGAACCTTAGTTTCCTTGCATGTAAATGTCTGTCTTCTAACAGAAGACACAGGGACACCATGCACAGGGAGTGTGTGCATGGGAGGGTGGAGATTACACAGAGGGAGGGTGTGCACATGGAGGGTGGAGGTCACACAGGGAGTGTGTACACATGGAGGGTGGAGGTCACACAGGGAGTGTGTGCATGGGAGGGTGGAGGTCACACAGGGAGTGTGTGCACATGGAGGGTGGAGGTCACACACAGGGAGTGTGTACATGGAGGGTGGAGGTCACACAGGGAGTGTGTACACATGGAGGGTGGAGATTACACAGAGGGAGGGTGTGCACATGAAGGGTGGAGGTCACACACAGGGAGTGTGTGCACATGGAGGGTGTAGGTCACACAGGGAGTGTGTACACATGGAGGGTGGAGGTCACACAGGGAGTGTGTGCACAGGGAGGGTGGAGGTCACACAGGGAGTGTGTACACATGGAGGGTGGAGGTCACACAGGGAGTGTGTGCACATGGAGGGTGGAGGTCACACAGGGAGTGTGTGCACATGGAGGGTGGAGGTCACACACAGGGAGTGTGTGCACATGGAGGGTGGAGGTCACACAGGGAGTGTGTGCACGTGCAGGGTGGAGGTCACACAGGGAGTGTGTGCACATGGAGGGTGGAGGTTACACACAGGGAGTGTGTGCACATGGTGGTTGGAGGTCACACACACAGCCTCTGGCACAGTGTTTGGAACTTAGAAAGATTCCCTGATTGGATGTTAGTTTTCGATTGTATGTATATATGAGTCTTCATTTTCATTCTAGCAATGAAAAGTTCAGATCCTTAAGTAACAGTTCAGAGCACATATTTTAATAAAGGAAATGGAAAAAGTAAGGGCACACAATTCTAACTAGAATGTAAAATAATATAGAGAACATAAATCTAATCAAAAATAATATATGAACATATCTTTTTTTTAAATAAATATCATGCTCCTGGGATTACAGGCGGAGAGGAACAGGAGAAAAAACTGCCATCATTAGAGGATAGACTAAGTCTAAGGGAAGCTGAGAATCTCATGCCAGGTCCTGCAGCCAGCAAATGGGGGAGTCAGGACTTCAACCTGTATAATCTGGGCACAGATCCTGATTTGGAATCACTGTGTTTTTTCCCTCCTGATGTACTTTAAATACATAACCAGTACTCACGCTAGCAATCTTGCAAGGTATTACAGTCATTTATCATCATTGGGCCAATGCTTCACAATCTACTTACATCTGAGGCAGCCCTCTGCAACTTTTTCTAGAGAGAAAGCCACTCAGGAGAGGAAAGTAACAGGTACTTGAAGTCCAGAAAGAAATGTAGAGTGACTCAAGAATCAAGTCCTGCCACTCCAGGCTGCATTCCTGACTCCCCACATGCCAATCACATGTAGGATGTCACATCCTCTCTTTGGACTCTGGTTTCCCTGTCTAATATGCAGGGGACTCAAAGCCAGGAGTTCAAGTCCATGGGCTCTGATGGACTTCTCAGTCCTGTGCTAAGCTTTAATCTCTGCAAATTCCTTCTCCAAGCTCCTGGGTCCTGCTGTTCAAAACCACCACTTAGTGAGATCTGAACATTATATCCTTCCACCTTGAATTATTTATCTGGGATTATCCTGCATCCCCTATCACGGATGGAATAAAGCATTTGCTTCCTCTGCCTCTGTTACATTTAGTCATCAGATGACAATTTCTTCCAGACGAATGCAAACTCCTCAGGAGAGAAGACTGGGCCTGCCTTGCTGGTCCTCATAACCCCTCAGAAAGGAACGTGGCACCTGCTTCGCAGACAGCAGGAGACCAATAAAGCATGCTTGAGAGATCTCAAAATAGCTCAGTCCTAAGTACAGCTCAAATGGTGCTCCTTACATAGCCTGCCCTGTGTCTCCTTCTGCTAAAACCATCTCCCTTTTGGCCAGGACCCAGAATGACAAAGGGGCAGTGTTTGAGGACTGCCCCCTCTGGCACCTGGGCACAGTCAATGGCCTAAAGTAGTCTGTCCCATGCCACTGAGAAGCAAGAGCCCTCTGTTTCCTCAACGTGTGGAGAGCTCACATGACAGGGTCCCACGGTGGCACGATTCCTCATCTCACGAGTTGAGAATGCAAGACCCTCAACAATCTAGCCTCCAAGCTGATTATACTTCCAATCCTCATGTACTATGAGGATTGGCCTGGAAGCCCCATGCAGGATGCTCATAGCTCCCAGCAGGATGCTCACGCACAGGGAACATCCAATGACTAGATAAATAAATATCAGTTGATTGCTTTTTCACAACAATGATCCCCCTGCACTGCCTTTATCTGCTGTCGTCTCCTCTTCTGTGGACTTTGCAAGCATAGGAATGGTATCTCATTTATTTCCAAAGTCCCAGATTTCTGACCAGGGTTTGGGGCAGTGTGGACACCCAGTGGTCATTTGTTGAATGAGCTGGGGGAACTCACATTATGGTGCTATCATAGAGCTTTGCCAAGTACTATGGAAAAGCTCAGTTCAGCCCATGACATGCTTCTTAAAAGACAAGAGAGATATTCTCTTGCAAGGGAGGATTATCTGGTTTTTTTTTTCTTTCTTTCCTTCTGGCTTGTCTCTGGAACAGCTGTAGGATATCTGTTTCCCAATGGGGTCTGAATCACCCCATTTCCTATGACAAGGAGCTCTGATCCCACCAAAGTTGCAGGGTGGTAGCTCTTGTGTGCTCAGGCATCATGCAGAAAGCAGCAAGTCCCATGGTTGGAAATACAGCAAACAGGATGTATTTGTGTTGTGTTTTATGTGAAGGCATAACTGAACCTGTTCTCTAGCCTATTCTTGTGAGTGTGTTTGGGGGTGGGGGGAGGAGATGCACTTCCATTTCCCAGCGACACTCAATTCTTTTGCTATCCAGATGTTCAACAGCTGTTGGGGGACTATGGCCAAGGCCCTGGGCTCTTGAGTAAGGAATGACTTCATGGTGTGATTCCTCTCCCCCTCTCTTCTTTTATATGAAGGTTAATGTCAGTCCTTGGAACTGATCCTACATGGCAAGGGGGAGAGGGATGCGGAGGAAGTCAGACCGATAACTTAGGCTGATGTATCTTTCCCATGAAGAGCCAAGCATGCTTGTTCTTTATCTTGCCCCAAATCAAGGAAACCTGGTCCCTCTCCCTGTTTTGCTCTGCCTTAGCCCACAAGACCTCTGAGAACACAGAAGCCCTTTCCTTTCAGGAAAGTCCAGCCACTCAATGTCATTTTCTTAGAGTGTTTTCCTATTCCCACAGGCCATCTGCACTCAGCTCACGGTTTCTCCCCATTTGTGTTCCTGGAGTGCAGAGACAAGGCTCAGTCAGCTCTGTGCCTAGCTTGTTCCAGGTCTGGGTCCATGCTTAGAATTCAGGATGCTTATGGGGCACAGGAATGACTGACTACCATGGCTTCTGATCCAGCAAAGGAACTCTGAGCCATGCCAAATCCCAGGAAGAGGTGATAGGCTTCCTATCTCTGCTTGGTGACCAACATTGAGCCTGTGAGCTCTGTGTTGACAGTTATACCATGGGGCCCAGACCTGGCTGCCTGGACCCAACTGCTTGCTGGGCTCAGGCAGCAGGCAGAAGGCTTGAAAAGTTGGTTCAGACAAAAAGCAGTGGTCCCAAACTGCCTTTTCTGGGCTGCCAGAGCCAACTCAGGGCAAATGAGGCAAAAGCAGCAGAATTAGCCATCTTTTAATTCTTACAGTGCTTTATAAATTTAGACTCACTCTGAGTAGACAGTGACTAAAGATTGAGATGTTCAGTTTCTGGCTGGTTCATTTCCTATTTTGCACAGTACATTAGAAACTCCCTTGGTACAAATATAAGGCAGCTGTATAAATACACATGGACTAGGCTGATTGTGAGGCCAAAATGAGCAAGAACTGGCTAACTGTTCAGATTTTTTTTTCATATTCCTACCTTTTTATTGTCTTAATCACCTCCTGAAATTGTCAGAATCAGGAAGTATTCAGTTTTCCAGGTGAAAAAACAGAGCACATACAACAGAATAATGAAAACTGAGTCTATGGCTAATATAAAGAGTACGGAGAGCCTCACCATCCAGCTACCTCATGTTATAAATGGGGAGAGTGAGGCCCAGAGCCAGCAAATGGCTTGCCTAAGGATGCACAGAGAATCAACGTAAAAACTGGAGTTCAGACCTGCAGACTCTCCACTCACCAACACTGCATGAGACAAACTTTCCTCAGGTTTTGGCTGTCTACCACTTTAGAAAAAAAATTCAAAGTCAAGGCCAATTCTATCACAGACTCACACTCACAGGGACAGAGGGGGCAAAGGCATCCCCTGCTAAACTTGGTGAAGGTTACCACAAGAATCAAAGAGGAACACTCGACCAAAGGAAACTCCAGCCCTGTGCCCTGGACAAACACCCCCCTGAAACCTCCGTGACGGCTGCTGCTCCAGCAAGGAGCATGTCATAACTTCGTCGTTCCACCACTGAGTTGGCTGAAAAGCTTCTCCATATGCCTCTCCTCTCTACTAGCCACAGAATGGCAATAGATTTCATTTACATTTGTTCATTTTTAATTAATTCAAATGGAACAATTAGCCATGTGCTCTCATGCCTTAAGCCACATGTTCAGCTTTCTACTTGCCCTATGGGCACCCAGCTGGACAGTTGGTACCTTGGTAGCCTGTTAACTAAGCAATGCCACTTCCCACCCTATGCCCAAACCCTTCTTACCTCCATCATTATCTTTGCTGTCACCACAGGCGGTTTCCATGGAAGTGTCACAGCCAGCTCCTCTCCAGCCCAGCTGACAGACACAGTGCCACCCATTGAGGTCCAAGGTACATCTGCCATTCCCATTGCACAGCCCAGGGCAACCCTCTGTAAGACAAAGCACATGGAGTCCAGGTCTGCTCATGCTGAGCTGGCTGCAGTCACACACATGCACACCTGACCAGCTGTCACATCCATCAATGCAGGGATGCCCACAGCTGGCCAATGAGGTAAGTCTCACCAGCAACTCCCACTCTATAGGGAAGATTGCCTAAGGTGGCACAATCACAGGTGCAGAAAGAGGCCTGAAACCTACAACTTGTGCAACCCCTTCTTGCCAAAGTGACTGGCTAGAGCTGCAGTTAGCAGAGGTAGACCTGTTAGACTCTGGCAGGTAGAGCTTTGGCCCTTGCTTCTTGCTCACTCTCCTGCATTTCCCCTGTCTCTGAGAGCTTTTTGGAACCAAGAAAACACCTCCTTACTTATTCTTATGTCTCTCTGTGCTTTTGCATGTCACTCCAAAGGACTGTACTCTCTTCAACTCTGGTTACTTGGTCAACTGTATTGGATGTTAGTCTTTTCATGTGTTTTGTCTTCTTTGATTCCAAACAAGTGCCTTTGCACTGAGTGAGACAGCCGGGTTCTTTTTCTTACCACCTTGTCTACAAATACACTTTGAAGACGTTATATACCCAGGGCAACCCCCATGACTGTCATAAAAGAGATAGGGCTGTGTGTAAATGCAAATACAGCTCCAGGCAGGCCACTCTGCTTCCTTTTTGTGCATCCTACATCTATCTGCTCCCCACCATCTATGCAGCACCTTCTATGGACAGACATTGTTGGAGGGATATCACTAAGTAAGACCTGGTCCTTATCCTGGAGCAGCATGCAGCTCACCAGAGGGGACAAGTTTGTCTATACTAATAATGCTACTGGCAGGTGTCCTAAAGACACAAAAGCTCATTGGAGAGCTCTGGAGATAAGGCGGCTAGGAGAGTGGGGTGACATGTAGACTCTGCCTGGGCTTTGCTTTGACTGTATCATAAGGTACAGGGTCTTCCTTACTGTGGATATAGATTCACAGGTTTCTGATGATCACTTTTTCAAACCCCTGAGTCTGTGGCTCAGAAATCTCTTTCTGAGAATAAGTTATAGAGCTTGTCTCATCCTCTGTCAGATGGTTTTCCATAAGGCCTCATTCTAACCAATTTGTCAATGCCCTGGTCTGAGGGACTATAAGGAAAATCACAGGCACACCTTTCATTTCTTCTCTGCCCCTGCTACCCCTAACACTCTGTTGGCTGAAAAGCTTAACGTGCTTTACTAGCATGAATGGCAAACTACCCCAAAGATGCCTACCAACAGCAAAAAAAATTGACCCTTTATTCTTCAATGGGACAACAAGTGGGAAGGAAGTCATGCAGTACCAGACAGGGCCCAAGGTAGTCATTCACTAAGTGGCTGATCAATCACAATCTACAAATTTTCGTGTATCAAGGACTTTTGATCCTTGATTGCTACTCCAAAGGGAAAGAAAAAAACATGTCCATTTCCACTTGAGATGTTTAACACAGCAACCAATCAATCTGGCCATTGGGTTTTCTTTTTTTTTTTTTTAAAGATTTATTTATTTTTATCGGAAAGGCAGATATACAGAGAGGAGTAGAGACAGAGAGCAAGATCTTCTGTCCGATGGTTCACTCTCCAAGCAGCTGCAACAGCTGGAGCTGAGCCAATCCAAAGCCAGGAGCCCAGATTCTCTTCTGGGTCTCCCATGTGGGTGCAGGGTTCCAAGGCTTTGGGCTGTCCTTCACTGCTTTCCCAGGTCACAAGAGCAGGGAGCTGGATGGGAAGTGGAGCTGCCAGGATTAGAACCGGCAACCATATGGGATCCTGGTGCGTGCAAGGCGAGGACTTCTACCACTACGCCATTGCGCTGCGCCTGCCACTGGGTTTTCAAACCAAAGGCAGCAATATTTCTCAAAAGTGTACACCAAGTTGAGAAGGGATTCCTCCAGAAGTTTAGAAGTAGAAGGTTTTGAGGAAATATGGACACCCACCAGCATGGCTGCCTCCAAAAACTATCAAGAAAGAAACTGTCATAGTAGTCCCCAGGAGCAGTGTTGTGACACATAGGTAGCTCCACAGGCATTTATGCAGGATGACATGAGCCACCCTTAGGAACCTAAACTATCACAGCTTTTCCCCAGTTAGTATCATTTAAATTTTTATCTATCTGGTTGGGACTTGCTGTGAACCATGTCTCATTTGTATTTGGATTTAGTCTTTGGTGTCTGGATGAGTTGGGCACAAAACTGAGTTTCTTTGAGCCTAGTCTTACGTATACAATAAGAGGTTAAATAAGATACTGTGTGCATGATGCACAAAACTGGCAATCAGTTCAAATACAGTAGCTAAATTTTCTATTCATTTTTACCTTCTCTCTGTTTTGGGCAGAGGGCATATAATACTGTCAATTGTACCTGGGCTCAAAGAAAGACAAAATAAGAAACTGGGGCAGTTATCTAGGTCAGAGCCAGCAAATATGTTCTAGAAAGGTCCAGACAGTAAATAGGTGAGTTCTGCTGCAATGACTCGACTCTGCCACTGCATTGAAAGCAGACATGTACAACTGGCAAATGAGCGAGCCTGTCTGTATTCCAATAAAACTTTATTCATACAAAATAGACAGTGATGACAATGCCGACTTCCACAGACTGAGTGACTGAGCAGAGACCCTGGACTGAAGAGATTTGAGTTCCCTTCCTACCACCACTTCATGTACTCCCCGTGAAGCTGGGCAAACTGTTTGCCTATAAGCTTTGTTTATTTTTCCAATTGTAAAATGGTGGTAATGTCCTAATTTAAGAAAGATGAAATGAGGCAACATATTCCATTTGCTTGTCACAGTAACTACCACTAATATAACTTGCTTTGTTCCAGGAAGGACTTTAAAAAGTGGGTCTAATAATCTCAAATGATACTGTTCAAGGTGAACTATGTAAAACACTTAGTGGGCTCCAAAAGACATTGCATCCTATATTTACAGTCTTGCAGTGTCACACTGATAATGAATACATTAAAGGTTCTAAGAGGTTCTATAATAATATAACGTGCCTATTTTATCATTAGAGAGTATTTTCTAATTTGACCTCAGGATCTTTTCATTCTCCCATTACCCTTGTAATCCTCCATTCCATGAGGAACCCTGGGGAAAGCAGCTCTGGGTACAGGGTGCCCTGTGCACAATTGTGGTACCATGCTGAGGTCACCTGAAGGAACTGGTATCCTTAGGGGAGTAAACTCTACATTTGGGATCACAGGGGCACACTGGCCACAGTCAGTTTCTCCCAAGTACCCTGGATACACCATGAGGATCTGCAGTGTCTCCTTGGTCTCAGAGGTACTTTGAATGCCTAAGAGTAGGAGGCAGTTTTGCTATCATGAAGGCAGTTGCTTGTGGGTAGCCACATTCCCAGTAGGCAGCATAAGGAGCCTCCTCCAGTAAGACTTGCTGACCCTTAGAACAGCATGCTCGATTCTTGCCCATCACTGGAGCTCGTTTATCCCACCTCCTCTGAAACTCAACAGGTCTGAGAGCCCAAGTGACAATCCCCTCTGGAAGTATTCACACCAGGAATATGCTAGAACCAAAGTAAGTAATTCTGAGCTTTAGACAAGGGCCATCTTTTCAGAAGAAAGGATACCCTCCAGCTGCTTTCTGTTTAGGACTTTGCTAAAACCAGTGAAGAAGTACCCCTTGAGCATCAGGTGTGATGAGGCGGCTTTTGGGAGCCTTGTGGGTGTCTGCATTTTTGACACTGGTTTTCTAGTTAAGCAGTACACTGTGCTTCACTAATGGCAATTCCCTGGCCATCTATCCACTGCCTCCTATCTTTCTGAGTCTCTTTCAAGCACTGCTGTACCTCTTTCTTTACGTTTACATTCACTCCCCTGGACAGGGTCACCAACATTTCTCCCCTAGGAGATTGCAACAGTATTGGTTTTTCCTGTCCCTAGTATTTCTTCCTAATTGTTCTTTCACAATTCTGCCAGGTTGAGTCTTCCAAAGAACAACTGTGGTCAAGTCATCTTGCGTTGCAACAGTAAAGTCAGTGCCTCTCTTATACCCTATGCTAAATTCTAGTCTACAAGGTTCTTACTTGCAGGAGGAGGGAGTCTTCTTGGTAAGTGACCCCCAGATCCCCCTCTGTCATCACTTTCATCACACACTGTGGGAACGGTTTAGTGCCTTCCTTGCTAGACTGCTTGTACTCCCAGAGCATGGGCCATTTCCGTTGGCCGTTAAGGAGCTGACTGTATTTGTTGAGTGAATATTGTTTATTTAGCCTCTGCCAAGGCAAGTGGAAAATGGAAAGCAAAGAACAAAAGCTGGCTTGTCTTTGAAGTACAAAATACATAGTCTCCTCTGACAAGCTCTGAACTTGTGTGGTACAGCAGCTTGATTTACACCTAGATTTTGCCAAGAAACATTTGTCTTTCAAAGCAACCTATGATGCATTAACAAAATCCAACCTAGAGCAGTACAGGTAGTTTGAGACAAAACATGAGAATGCTATCCTGGAAGATCTACATAGGAGGCAAAAAACCAAAGGTAACTCAGTGTGACAAGGATGTGGGATGTGAACCCAGGCAGTGCAACTTCAGAGGGTGTGCCCCTAAGCATTGAGCACAAGTTTGGTTCACAGGTTTGAGGGCATGAGCTTAAGAAATGAGTGAGTATGTAATGGCATCTCCTCAGGGAGCCTTTTACCAGCACACAAACCTGACCCTTCTGACACTTATTCTTAGGGTAATGAGACCTATGTCAAAAACTAGAAGCTGTCTCATGAACACAAAAATGTTTAAAAGGGAAGGGATGACCATCTTCACAGGATATTCTTCAAAGGCAAAACTTACCAAGGTCAGGCCTTCTCTGAAAAGGAAACAAACAGGATCATCCACTCTTAGAGGCCAGGGGTTTGTTTCTCCCCTGGTCTCCAGAGTCTGGCACCTGTACCTAGTCCACAGTGGGTGCTCCACAGGTGGCTGTTGGATGAATGAACACAGCAGAGACAGAATGTATCCTTAAGATTTCTTAGCTT